AGGAGTGTTCTCAGTGACAGCATTGAGGATGGTCTGTGATGCTGAGGAGCACTGTCAGTGGCAGGGTTGGGAATGGTCGTGGTGCTGAGGAGTGTTCTCAGTGAAAGGGATGGGGATAGTCCTTTATGCTCAGGAAATGCTCTCAGTGATATGGTTTGGGATTGTCCATGATGCTCAGGAGTGTTCTCAGTGGCAGAGATGGGGATGGTGTGCGATGCTCAGGAGTGTTCTCAGTGTTCAGGATGGTCGTGATGGTCAGGCGTGTTGTCAGTGACAGGGTTGGGGATGGTCGTGGTGCTCAGGAGTGTTCTGAGTGACAAGGTTGGGGATGGTCCCTGATACTCAGGAGTGTTCTCAGTGGCAGGGCTGGGGATGGTCTGTCAGGCTCAGGAATGTTGTCAGTGGCAGGGTTGGAGATTGTCCGTGATGCTCAGGAGTGTTCTCAGTAACAGGGTTGGGGATTGTTTGTGATGTTTAGGAGTGTTCTGAGTGACGGGGTTGATGATGGTCTGTGATGCTCAGGAATGTTCTCAGTGGCAGGGCTGGGAAATGGTCCGTGATGCTCAGGCGTGTTCTCAGTGAGAGGATTGTTTATGGTCCGTGATGCTCAGGAGTGCTCTCAGTTCTCAGTAACAGGGATAGGGATGGTCCTTGATGCTCAGGAATGTTCTCAGTGGCAGGGCTGGGGATGGTCTGTGATCCTCAGGAGTGTTCTCGGGAGGGTTGGGGATGGTCCATGATGCTCAGGAGACCTAGCAGGCACTCATATTTTTCCCAAGAGAGAAAACATTCAAAGTTTAAAAATCGCAAAGACTAATTCCTCGTAGGATCTTTGGGAGCTCCTTCTTTCACATTATGGGTGGTTATTCTTCTAAGCCAAGTCAACTAATAATTTTCACTGGAATATCTATGTAAAAAGAAGCAAGGAATTTGGGAATCCATCCTCTTATCTATAGGTGTTTTATGCACCTCCCGAGCTGTAGGAAGTCCAGTGCAGCCCTGGGCAAGCCCCTTCCATTTCTGTCTTCCTCACACTCCTGGGGAGCCCAGTGGCACAAGCTCAGCCATGAGGGTGCTGGAAGTGTGGCACATTGCCCTGCTGGGGGTGTGAGGGGCACATGTGGGTTCCCAGCACAGCAAACGTGGTGCACACTAGGAGCCAAGTCTGCAGAACTTGGCTCTCTAGTCTCTTGCCCACAGGCCCCTGCTGGGAGGGCCAGGGGCTCAGCACAGCAGGAGGAAGTTGCCTGTGTCAATGACTTCTGAGGACCATGGGCAAGGTTTGGGGTCACATCTCTAGGAATTCTCGCTGGTCTCAGCTGCTTCCCGGGTATCATCTCCTACAGCAAAGTCCAGTTGCAGCATGGGGGGGAGGTGGCTAGAGAAGGGTGGGGAACATTGCCTTGGGAAAACATAATCAATATCCATATGGTTTCAATTTATTTTTTTTAAGCAGCAGAAAGTAAAACTGGACAAAAATCTCCATCAGCAGTGAACCACATAATAGTGGTTCCGAGATAAGAACAGGTCTTAAAAACAGTGAGAGACTTTGCTTTGCCACAGACTGGTGGTAGTAAGTGGGATCCCCCTGCTTCACCTCTATACTCAGAGGGAGATAGGGAGAACCAGGCAGGCACATGGTGACAAGCTGTGGGGCACCCTGGGGCCCAGGCCTCAGTCCTGACAGGGCTCTTCACTGCCCTCCCTCCCTTGACTGCTACCCAGGGCAGTTCCTAGAGAAACTGAGTGGAGAAAAGTTAATGGCCAGCAGCTTGTCATAGTTGCGTTTATTTGCCTTTCCATTCATTGGTTAGTTATTGACATTTATCAGCTGCACATTACTGTGTCTGACCAGTGAAGGCATAGACTCAAACACAGTCCCTGACCTGGAGAATCTCAGAGCCTGGCGTGAATGGGTGCTGGATCCTGGGAGTCAGAGGCCACCCGCCCTTCACACAGGCCTCTGTGTTTCAGGGCATGAACTACCTGGAGGACCGGCGCCTGGTGCACCGAGACCTGGCAGCCAGGAATGTGCTGGTGAAGACGCCACAGCACGTCAAGATCACGGATTTTGGGCTGGCCAAACTGCTCGGTGCTGAAGAGAAAGAGTACCATGCAGAGGGTGGCAAAGTAAGGGCTGGCTTTCAGGGCAGCGAGCTCTTTCCTGTCACCAGGGCAGGCTCCCTACCTCTTACCATAGTTTCTAACTGATGGAGGGGATGTTCAGTGGACATTCTGGGTGAGGTCCCAGCAGCTGCCACTCATACCTGGTCTAGCCAGAGTCTCCTGGCAGCTGGAGCCAGAGCTGCTTAGGGAGTGGGCTGGCAAAGTTTGGGTGCCAGAAGATAAACACACTTCAAAAGAATTGCTGGGAAACATCACAGCTAATTTGGGGGCAACCTGCTCTTGACATCTCAGATACGTGGAAGGCTTCCCATGTGGTTCCAAGAGCTCCTGGGGGTCTCTGTGACTCAGGACAGGACAGGCAGCAGTGGGGGCTCTGCCTTCCATCTGGCTTGGGGTTCCCCAGGGAACTCTCTCACCAGTGAGGGGAGAGGTGCCCAGATGCTCTCCCCCCAAAGTTTCACCCTGGCCTGTTTGGCTCTAACCAGCCACCAACACTGACACTGGGCCCTGAAAACACACACAAATCCAGGAGGGTGGGCAGCAGCCCTGAGGAGCTCATGGCCCAGAGGGGCCTTGGCTGCCATATTGAACACCCACCTCCTGCTGGGAGGTAAGCTGGAGATGGGGTGAGGGGTGGCCTGGCTTCCCCATAATCTGTCATTTGTGATTAGGCCCAGGGCAGTGTCATGCTTTCCCGCAGAGGAACGCTAACGGTTGTTATTGCTTCTCTCTCATCATCTGAAGGTGCCCATCAAATGGATGGCACTGGAATCAATTTTACACCGAATTTATACCCATCAAAGCGATGTCTGGAGCTATGGTGAGTAAAAATCCTGATGCTAATGAACTTGTAGTGAGGCTGCACTGGTTTTTATCATTAGTTAATTTACATTAAATGCTTTGATATGGAGATGTTTTCTTTCAAGATGGTGAGCAATGACAATGTAATAGTTGTTATCTATCCATCACCCCAACAGAACAGGACAGAAGGAGTTGGTCTGGGTCTCAAGCTACTACATTTAGTGTCACTGGGGGTGTTGCTGAGCTGGGCTGGCAGAGAGGAGGTAGCAGGCAGGGAGAGAACTTGAGAGGCGCCTTTGCCTACGCCATCAAACCAGACTTGACCTCTTGCCACAAATTTAAAGTGAACCAAATGGCGATGACAAAGGAGGTTTCATGAGGAGAGTTTCATGGCAGGGAACCAAGATTTGTGGTAAACTAACTCAGTGGCTGTGAAAGCACATGATGTCTTTGTGTGCCAGAGAGAAGGGGCTGAAAGCCAGGCACTGTGAGGATATCTGCAGGAGACCTGAGGAAACCGGTCACTGCTTCCCATGGTGGACTCGCATGTGGGGACCCGTCTTCCAGGTCCTCTTCCAAATCCCAGAATGGCTGTGCGCAGGCTTGAGCTCCAAACTCCTTAGCTGCCTCTGTCCCAAACCCCCATCCTGTCCTCGCCTTATCCTGACAGCTGTGCCAGGTATGTGCACTGGGTCACCGCATGTGGTCCTTGAGTGTCATGCAGCAGCCCACTACTGAAAAGCTGAGACACCTTCCCGCTGCCTTTGCTTGAAAAAAGTCTGTCTTCCCCAGACACCAACTGCATGAGGGAGGGTGCCCCTCCCCAGAGGTGAGCATCTGGGGAGAGTGCTGTCAGGAGGCGTTTCCAAGGGGAAGTTAGTCATTAGCACAAAAGCAAAAATGTTCAAGAGACTGTTCATTTAGTATTTGCTCTTTCTCATAGAATCATTAACTTTATAATATTCCAAATGCAAATATGTATTTTCATTTCCTGAGTCTTCATCTTTTCTGTTAGAATATAAGATTTCCAAAAGCAGGGATGGATGTCGTTGTGAATATGGGAATTTCTGTATGTGCCTGTGAGCTGAGCTTCCTCCACAAAGAGGCAGATGAGGCAGCAGAGCTCTTCCAGGACCCTGCCCAGTGGCTCCTGTTGGCCACCTCCTTCCCCTCCAAACTCCCTCACCTTCTCTCCACAAAGAGCCAAAAGATATTTTTCAACTACATCAGATTTCTCCTTCTCAGCTCAGCACCCTTCTTTGGGTTTCTGAGAAGGTCCCTCTGAGTCCTAGAGCCCTCCTCATTATGAGATCAATGAGACTCTGGATGGGCCAGCACTCATGCCTCCCCCAGGCCATGCGCCCTCACCCTCCCCTGCATTCCAGGCTCCAGCACCTGTCCACCCTGGCAGAGTAAAAGGAAACCCTTAAAAATCCAGTGACATCATGCCTTTGAGTGGTCAGGAAGCCATGTCCCTAGAGAGGCTGTTGAAAGCTTTCTTGTCACAGCGGATTGTAGCTGCTGAGCTCCCTGGAATTATCAGACCATGAGCCTGAATTTTTAGTTCAAAACCACGTTGTGTTCTCTACTGTCTCGTGTCCAGTGCAGGCAGAATGGTCACTTTATCAAGGCAGAAGCCCGCTGCCACCCTGCACACGCATCCCTCCCTTCCTATTTGTTCTGAAGCCTAAAACCCTGCCTTCCTACAAGAAAGAATTGCACCTGCTTAGAAAGCTCGTTAGGGAAGAGGAAATTGACCTCCCAGGCTGGAAATGAGGTGTACTCTCTCCTGGAGTCCATGGTGACTCTCAGGAAGTGGAGGGGCATTAAGACGGCTCTATCTTCTTTCCTCATCCCTGGACCACTGCCCCCCTTCAGTTGTCAACCTACATTCAGTATATTAATTCAAGTAGAATGGATTCCAGCTGAAGATTTGGGAAAAGCTTCTGTAAAATCCAGGTCTGTGGTCACACATAACCATTGCCAGGTCTTGGTACAGTGGGGAATAGACCAGCCCAAGATCAGCAGTTCCGGGGTCCAGGCTCCTCCCACGTGGTTGGGGACCCGGCTCAGTGTGCCATGGCTGTTCTCAGGGGCAGAACAGGGCATCTTTGCTGTCCCATGAGGACCATGGGGGCCAGGGAGGGCGCAGACTCCATAAGTGTCCCCACACTTTCTAGAGCAGAGACTCTTGGCAGAGGAGACACATGCAGGGCTTTTTAGCTAAAAGGACACAGATTCTAAGGTTATCACTGCTCTCCTTTGTTTTAATCATTGTAGTTGGTTGATTCTGATATTAAAAATGAAGTTTTTATGTTTATCAACAGGAACATAAGCCTTTTTGTTTCCAGCTTTTTTGTGATTTAGTAACAGCTTCCAACCTTGTATAGAATTTCATCTTTCCACTCCGGCAGGTACAAGTCACTGAGGGCCGAGGTCTGAGTATGTGGCTTCCATGGCATAGAGTAATGACACTCACGTTACTAGAATTGTGGCATCTTTATTGTTTTTACCAAAGTGTGCCGTCTCTTGGTCTCTTACTGTTTGCTAGACCTTGTGCTACACTTCTTAGTTGGATCCTCATAGCCATCCTGTGAGACAGAAACTGTTATTATCCCCTTGTGGAAACAGGAGAACTGAGGCTTCCCATAAGATAACCCATGCATGGGTGTACAGAAACATTAGTTTTTAAACATTGGGAGACAGCAACCAGCAGCGATGACTGAAGACGGGCTGTGATTACCATGGACTCACACTTCCTCCCCTCAGGAGTCACTGTTTGGGAACTGATGACCTTTGGCTCCAAACCCTATGACGGAATCCCTGCCAGTGAGATCTCTTCCATCCTGGAGAAGGGAGAGCGCCTGCCCCAGCCGCCCATCTGCACCATTGATGTCTACATGATCATGGTCAAGTGTGAGTGACAGGCCTCCCCACATCCAGCAGGGCCCCAGCACATGGGGTGCCTGGTTACCCAGTCAAGGCCTCACATCCTTTGGGAAGGAGTTGAGGCCTCTGGTTCCCTGGAGGAGAGTCTCACATCCACAGAGGTTCTCAACTTATGGGTCACGACCCATAGGAACTATATTAAAGGGTTGTGGCATTAGGAAAGTTGAGAACCACTGTCCTAGGGGAAGGAGTTCGAGGCCTCTGGCTCCCTGGAGGAGCATCTCACATCCTTGGGGAAGGACAGAGCCCAAAAACCTCTGTTTACACCACAGGCATTCTTCAGAACGCTCGTGTCTGACTCACTGAGCACTGTGGCCTGACATTTGTCCATGTTTGCAAGCAAATCAGTAGAATTAAAGTCTTTGTAAGCCATTGCACCAAAATATTCTCCTCTGAGTTGTTCAGTGAAATAGCAAACCATCCCAGGCCTTGAAGCCTGACACCAGAGAGAAGGAATGTTTTTAAATGCTTACTAATGATTAACCACACGAGGTTAATAGAATCAGTGTTTCTGCTTTGACGTAAACCTCTCACACATGGGATTTGTGTGAGGTCTCCTGCAGTGTGCCATTTAAACATTTTAGTCCAAATAGAGTGGCAGTGGGTAGATGATTTTGTTCTCCCAGCACCACAACTGCACAGATAAGCACTTGTACAAGAAATGGGCGTAGGGGATGTGACAGAGCCAGGTTAACTTAAATATTAGTTCCTTTCTAAACTTTAGAAAACAGTTAGAATCTGTTTCGACTTCCTTGGTCTGGGTTGAAGAAGCTGGGTCCAGAGAGGCCACATGGTTTGTGTAGGGTCACATAGTATCTCAGCCTAAAGTGGCTGGTCATCCTGCTGATGACAGGTGATTGTGGCCCTCCAAAGGCACAAGGACCTCCGCAGGTTGCCGTCTTGTGGCTGTTTAATCCTAGACTGCTGTGTCTAAGAAGCAGCCTCCCAGGGAAGGGACAACATGGCTGGGCCTGTCCTCTGCCTGCATGGCCACAGGGTTCACATCATAGGGAGGGTACAGGGTGGGGCAGGCCCAAACCAGGCCGATTAAAGCCTTTACGTTTTTCTGAGTGAGTCTGGTTTCTACCCAGAAGGAATGAGAGGGGTAGACGGGGCTTTGACGCAAGGCACATGATCAGAGGGGTACAGAGCCTGTGACCCCATACTGCAGTTCCATGTGTGCCCAGGGATACTGCAGGGATGCTGAACCTAGGAGCATGGGCGTGGGAAAGTTGGGTGATGTCACTGTTGTTCTGGCTCAGATACAGGGTGCTAGCATGGTCTCTCCACAGTAGCCACTGTTAAGAAGTGGCCACTGTGTAGATTCTATCACAGAAGTCAGTCTCTTCACCACTCATTTGTCTGAGAAGACTAGTGGCATCTTCTCAGGACCTTCCTTATCATTTCTTCTAAGTTCTAATTGCACCGTTTTTCCCCAGGCTGGATGATAGATGCAGATAGTCGCCCAAAGTTCCGCGAGTTGATCATTGAATTCTCCAAAATGGCCCGAGACCCTCAGCGCTATCTAGTCATCCAGGTATGGCCTGTCTACTCTCCCATGGGGAAGAGTCCCTCTAAAGAGCATCAAACGTCACTGTGCTCCCCACACGTTCCCACAGCCTCCTGCTGTCTACCCCTCTGGTACTATAGGATCAGCTTCAGTTAAGGCGCAGGCCAAACTGCGAACCAGGTGGGGTCCAGGTGGTGCCCATACCTCCCTATCATTCCAGACAGATGCAGCCTCCCCACACTCAGGCTTCGTGTCACTCCCATGAGGTGAGAGAAGCAGGGTCTGGTGGAAGGCACACGTGACTTCACATCTCAGCCCATCTGCTCCCACAGCTAGGAGTGCCAAAGCTGGGTTTACTCAAAGATGCAGCAAAGTTACACATTCAGAGTAAGCTGGTTAGGGTCAGGAAGCAGCGCAGGGCACTCAGTAAAGGTGCTCTTCTTCCCTTGAGGTTCCCTCCTGAGGAACCTCCCATCCTCCTCCCTTCCTCCCATCAAAGAATGGTGACTGTTTCATTTTATGGCACCCAAAAGCAGCTATACTTCTGAGAACTAGAGGGTTTTATTGTAACAAACTGGCCAACTTGCAGGTACCTGCTTGCAGTAGGGCCCACCTCTTGTGGCCCACAAGGGACTAGCCTTTTCATGGGACTTTCTCATGGTCTCAAAATCCCTGCCCCAGGGAGACGAACGCATGCATCTGCCAAGCCCCACGGACTCCAATTTCTACCGTGCCCTGATGGATGAAGAGGACATGGAGGATGTCGTGGACGCCGACGAGTACCTTATCCCACAGCAGGGTTTCTTCCACAGCCCATCCACGTCCCGGACACCCCTTCTGAGCTCGCTGGTATGAGCCCTTTCTCTCTCTTACTCTCTCAAGATGTGTCTGCTGGTGTGAGAAAATTGGGTTTAGAGAAAATGAACCTCACACATTCAAGAAATCAGTTTTAGCCAAATGATAAAGCCAGAATCACTGTGAATCAAGTATATTATTTCATTGCATTGCAACAACTTGATTATAATCCTTTTAGGTCCACTGAGGAGCAGAAATAAATCAAAACTAAACCTAGTTTTTCTAAAGCTAATGATTGAGCCAAGAAATGAAGTACCTTCAGTATATTCACCCCCAAGCCCCACCTCCAGCACTCAGGGAAAGCAGATGAGGAGGTGCAAGTGTGCCCTGACTTCTTTTTCAGAGTGCAGCCAGCAACAATTCCACTGTGGCCTGCGTGGACCGGAATGGGGTATGTATGAACCAGAATTAACAATATGGTATCGCACTATATGGTACATACAAAATGCCCATCTTCACCCAGATAATTTGGATTTTTCTTCCTGTTTGGGTTTTGCCCTGTGTGATTTCCCTGGCCTTTACCCTGAGGAGAGCAATTGGCTATCCTGTGTCACAGTGCCAAAGTGCGGTTCAGGGACCAGCAGCCCAGCAGCACCTGGAGGCTTGTTAGAAATGCACATTTGCCACCAGCAGGCCTACCAGACCAGGTCCTGGGGGTGGTGTCGTCATCTGTGCATCATCAGCTTTCCAGGCGATTGGTGTGCACTGATGCCAGAAGCTGTGGTCTAGACCTACGCTGGGCACATGTGGCTATTTAAATGTTAATCACTTAAAATGAAACAAAATATAAAATTAAGTTCCTCACACACCTTAAGTGTTCAGTAGCCACATGTGGCTGGTGGCTCCCGCATTGCAGAGCACAGGGCACAGGGCACAGGACATGCACATCCCTATAGAAGGTTCTGGGGGACAGCCCTGGCCAGGCCTGCCACTCATCTGCCTGCCCAAACCTGTGGGGTCAGAACTGCATTTTCACCAAATGCAGGTGACTTTCATATATGTAGACATATGAGCAGCCCTGACTGGGGTGACCGTGCTGGTTTCTTCCCTTGCAGAGCTGTCCCATCAAGGAGGAGAGCTTCCTGCAACGGTATAGTTCAGACCCCACCGGTGCCTTGACCGAGGACAGTGTGGATGATGCCTTCCTCCCAGTGCCTGGTGAGTGGCTGCTCTGGAGACTGCTGTGCTCCATCCAGTAGCAGCTGGTCCTCACTGCCTGCTGCCCACACCAGGCACATCCTTCTAGAAGTGGAAACTGGCAGGTTTGCATACAGTGGAGGGAGTAAGATGCAGAAAAATGCATAATGGCTGAACATGCATAGAGTCACTCTGTGGTCATTATCTGAAGGCCATGCTTTGAGCATGAGACTGCAGACTTTCTAGGATTTGAAGCACCACAAAGAGGTCTGTGTGTGCTTGGGCATGCGTTCTCTGTGTGTGTGTGAAAGAGAAAGATTCCATCTCTGCTCCCTCACAGCTCTGCTGTGGGCCTGTGATACACATGTAAGTAATCTAAGCTTTCTCCCAAGACACTCCTAACCTGCATTAACACACGCACACACACCCTTCAAGGCCAGGCTGTCCTCTTTGAACTTTGAATTTGCAAAAGGTACCTGTGCCTTTTACTTTGAGAAACATAAAAGCAGGCATTTTGCAATGCCATTTGTACCTGAGGCACCCACCCCTGTTATTAGCACCTCATTGAAGACATATACCTGGGGCTCAGAGTGAGGCTTGGACCCTGTGTGGGAGGATGCCTTGCTGACCACATCCTATGATCTCTCTTTAATTCCAGAGTACATGAACCAGCCTGTCCCCAAGAGGCCTGTTGGCTCTGTGCAGAGCCCGGTGTATCACATTCAGCCTCTGAGTCCAGCCCCTGGGAGGGACCCCCACTACCAGAACCCCCACAGCAGTGCCGTGGGCAACCCTGAGTATCTCAACACGGCCCAGCCTTCTTGTGTCAGCAGCACTCTCGACAGCCCTGTCCATTGGGCCCGGAAGGGCAACCACCAGATCAGCCTGGATAACCCTGAGTACCACCAGGACTGCTTCCCCCAACCGAATGGCCTGGTCCGGGCTCCTGCAGCTGAGAATGTGGAGTACCTGAGGGCAGCACCCCCAAGCAGTGAGTTCATTGGAGCATGACCACGGAGGACCGTGGCAGCTGTGAAATCTCAGAATCTGCAGATGCCTAGGACCGAGCCATGGCAGCTACTCCAGTCCCTACACCCGTGCCCATGTCCACTCTCAGACCCATGGGCTGGCAATGACACATTTGCTCTGACCAGCCCCCCCTTTCAGCCAGGAAGTGCCGCTGACTAAAAGGGGTGCTCTTTGGGAAGTTGCAGTCACATTCCTTTGTCTTCAAACTGTGAAGCTTCCACACAAGGTATCCGGCAAGAATGTTGTTATTAGGAAAAAATAAATATATGTAAGGATTGTTATTGGTTGGGGATCTTTGGGATTTTTAATTTTCAATATTAATTGTGATTTTAATGGGGTCTTCCATTGAGGAAGAAGCTTGCTTATAGTTCTTGCCATGCTGAGGGCGCCTAGGCCCAGCTGTGCCCATGGAATGTGGCCATCAGTCTTCCAAGTGACACTTGATCCCGTTGGCTCTGCTTCAAGACTATTCCACTTAAGACAACTGAACACACAGGAAACCCTGAGTGTTGGGCAGCTTTGGTCCACCAAGTCATGGCAGGTGCAGTAGGCCACCCCACTTTGCCCCTTTATAGGCAAATAAGAAATGGGGGGAGCAGAATTCTTCCTCTGATTTATTTTTGTATGAATGTCTCCAAGGTACTTAGTCTCTACTGATTGATCAGTGTTGTCTAATGATGAGCCTTAGACTCACTTGTTTATTTTCTATTCTGTTGTTTTGACACTCAGTGTGCTTTCCCTGTCTTACTGTCATGAAGTCAGCAAGAGAAGATGGTACCTTAAATAACAATACAATTCCAGCCCACATTTGATCTACCAACGTTTAGACCAATAGCTTTTGATTAAAATGGACCCGCAATGCAAAAGTTAATGTGCAAACATATCCCCTGACTTTGAGGCTCAGATAAAATGCATCAAGTTTTAAGGGGCAAATGACAGGAGACTGCAAAAATGAGGCTGTTTCTAAATTTCCTTTAGTTCTCACCACCCAACCACCAAATATTAGTTTAGATTACTCATAGGAGATAATTTTCTCTTTCCATTTCACTTTAAAAGTTGTTTACTTGAAGGGTATGTGTTCCTCCTTGGTCAGCTACCCCTAGATCCTCTCCTTGCCCTTTGTGAAAAAATGTATCTGGACCCTGAAGCAACTATTCAGAATTTACAGCCTGGCCGGAATAGGCACATTTGAGAAGTAAAAAAACATTATGAATAGTGTGGAATTCGGGTGATAAATGAGAAAGTAGAGTTTGAAAGTGGGGACAATGCTTTTGCATCTTTGGATGCTTTAGAAGAAAAAAAAAATAGTAATTCCTCCTAAAATAATTTCCCCATAGTTAAAGGATCCCAACTGCTTTCCTCATCTGTGTGTTCCTGCAGCCTGATTGGTCAGCAGCTCTGGCAAACCATGATTTAAATACTACTAGTCAATATCTGCCCCATCCAGATTATCAAGGAAAAAATGTTTTGGACACTATTTTTAGCCTACAAATATATTCAGCCCCCCCCCCACACACACACATACACACATTCCTTTTGCTTTTAAATTAGCAACTTCAAAGCAAATTGATCAGGGCTCTAAGGTTTTGTTAAGAAAATATTTGACTTTTGTCTAAATGGAAATAAAACTGTATTTCTTTTCCATTCCATTCCATTCTGCTCTTGAATACTCTTAAGCAACTATACTAGCCTAGCATGAGTACCAAAGCTACCAAAATAAATAAAAGATCACCCTGATACTGAGGAATTCACAGTTTAGCTAAGGAAATGGACTCATAACTCTAAGCGGTATTAAGGAATGGCAGAAGGACCTATTGGCCAACACGGGGAAGGCAGAAGCACAGAGGGCAGGTTCTGCCTGAGGAAGCCTGGAAGCTTCCCCAGGAGGCTCAGCTGTGAGGGAAGTGGAAAGGCCAGCCTAGCAGAACCTCAATGGAAAACACCCGCCTGAGGGATCACCTCACAAAGCACCTCACTGGCAAGTCCAGCCTTCTAACAGGAGCCACCCATACCCCCTTTGCCCAGAGGGTTGCATCCGCATCAGGGATTTTGAGCTTCCCCTCTGAAATGAGCAGTGAGAAGAGCGAGCAACATCTAGTCCTAAGAATCTGAGCTCCTGTGCCATTGTCAGTAAATTACTTTCATTATGTATTCACCTTAGGACATAAAGAAATACTTTAATCAGAACTGGGAAACAGGATGGTGCACCTTCCACCATCACTTTTTTGTCTGCAATCTTTTTTTTAATGAGGGAGGGCAATTGGAAGCCAGTCAGATTGTAGGAACTAAATCCCAGTATTTCTGCACTTTGCAACACTGACACAATACAACACTAGAAGCTATTCAAGCTTGCTTTTCTTCTCCACATTTCAGTTTTCCTGCATATTTAGCTGCCAAATTCTATTTAAGACTTTTCCTCAAACATTCTCATTCCTTCTGCCCAGGAAAGCACAGAGGACTTGTGCCCCCTGCAGCCCCTGTGCTGGGGACACATGGGCAAGTCAGAGGGAAAAACCCAGAGCCCTTATTTCTGCTCCATAGCCCTCCTGGGCACATCTCAAACCTTTTCTTAGTCCCAGGCTTTCCTCACTGATAACCAATCCCTGAGGCCCCGCCAGAGCCTGTCTGGTGCCCCTTCCTCAGTTCCTATAGGACCATCCCCAGGCCCAGCCTCAGCTCTGGACTTGGGAAGCAGAGTCCAAGGAGCAGGACAGAGTCGGGAGCGGGCTGACTCCCACAGTGGATGGTGGTCCTTACATGGTCCTCTCCTGTAATCTCTGAGGAGGGCCTCCAATTGTGCCCTGTGAGAAACACTTGTTATCCTCTAAAGTTAAGAAAAGAGACAAATCTTTTAAACTCTAAAATTGCTGTGAGCCCAGGTCACTGCTAACAGCATGCTCAGGAGCGCCTTGGTGGCGTTGTAGTGCCCCAGTTGATGACAGAGCTGAGATTCCACTGTAGACACACCAAGCCGGGGCGCACAGAGAAACCAGCTTCCCAGCCTGGGTGTCCAGAAAGTCTCCCAGGTGAACCAACAGCTTATGATTTAATTGCTCTCAGGTGCAGCCTGGGCCTGGGACCGTCCCAGCACCCAGGTTGTTGTGTGCACGTTTGGGGACCCAGGCTGTGAAGGACAAGCCCAAGCCCCCTCCACCCACATTAGCCTCTGCCCAGGCAGGGTAAGGCTGGCATGTTGGGGACCCTCATGCTCACACTCACCGTGTGTGAGAGCCACCGAGGAGCTTCAAAAGAAGGGGCCAGAGGTCTGCAGGCCAATTCAACCCAAACTGTGCAGTCAGGGTTGAAACCCTCCCTCTGAAGTCCCCTTCAGCTTGCAGGCTTAGAGGCTGGGAAGGGGAAAGGCTCCCATGTGCAAGGGAAGGAACAATTTGCAGTCACTGATATGCCTGTTTTGGCCACCAGTGACCATTCCAAACACCTCCAATTCACTGTCACCAGTAACTTACTCCTAAAGTGGCACATACCCAAATCTGAGCCTTGATAAAGCCTTGGGACCCTTCAAATGTCTAATCCTTTTGTGAGTGAGCAGCGGCACAAGTGGCAGCTGTTTAAATTGCCCTTACTGCCCACTTGGCATTACCTTCTGTGATGAGCTGGTGTTTTTATTGCAACATAATGATCTGTTTGTATTTACTTGCTGGAGGGCTGAACAGAAACTCCAGCTTCTTTCCCCAACCTCTCTGTTGTGCTAGGCCACACATCTTTGTACTATTAAAGACATAGATAGGATTTTAAATGTAAATCTATTTTTGTAACTTTTTTTTGCAGGATATTGTCTTCTTTATGTAGCACTGAACTTTGTAAAGTATATTTTTAGGAAACTCATTTTTCTACTAAAGGAAACACAGTTAACTTTAGAAAGACTGCAATAGAATAAAAATTTGAACTGAAATCTTTGTTTAAAAGGATTAAATTGAAGGAAAAGAGAACTCTTTTCTCTCTCTTATGGAATGGTACAGCCTCAGTACAGAGCCAAACTATGCTATTGCCATGGTAAAGAGAAGAATCGTCATTTTTTTATATTTATGGAATTGGGAAAGATGGGAAGCATGTTAAGCTTGCTCTGAAACAGGTTCTATTGGGTCTGTTTGGAGCAATGTTAATGGAAAGAGAGTACTGTCTGTTATCATGAGAAGAATCCACTACATGGCATACCCTGACCATCTGCCAATGTCCCGGTCATTGTAAGAAAAGCAACAATACAGCACTTTGTTGATTTATATATGTATAATGTGATTTAAATGCAAATTATTTTATTTTCATATTTGCAATTGATAATGCATTTATCAACATAGACTAAATACTAATAATAATGTTCAGTTTACTTCGGTTACTCAACATACAGGCTGACATGACATCATTAGGAGAGCTTTCAAAAAGCTTAAAGCCCAGATACCACAGACATACTCTAGGTATTAAAACCTAGGCAATGGCACTTTTTATAGCTCCTAAGATCACTGCTATATGTAGCCAAAGCTCAGAACCACCAGCCTAGGGACTGATTGCAGGGACTTGGACGTATAGGCAAATTCTGCAAGTGCAGGTGACTCCCAGGCCCAGAGAACTCTAAGCCATAGAGGCCTGAGACATCTGTCACTGTGGGTCAGGACAAAAGTTGCCCAAGCACTAGAAGAAAGAGTGTCCAGCCAATTGATAAAAGGGAAGGAAATATATCTTATAACAGACAACTCTCTTGTATTTCTCAAGCTTGCTCCCCCCACTAAAGTTAGCTGGTAGTTAAGAAAAGACAGTGAGTATTTTTGCTGCATATGCAGCCATTGCTGTCCTCCCTGAAGCACTGAGGTAACCTGGACTTTCCAGGGTGAAAGGAAACTGTGGCCTATCAGGTAATTTACAAAGTGCAGACTTCAGGAGGGCTGGATATGTCGTTGCATGGCTTTCATAAAAACAAGAAGGATCCTTGCTTTAGAAAACATTGTTTATATACTCTTCATAAATTATGGAGTAGAACCTCCATAGCTGACCCCCTCCTAAGTTGACCTAATTTCACAGACTGGACATGCACCACATGTATGTGTCAGTACAGTGCCTCATTCCGTATGGTGACCATCTCCATATGCTGACCAGTTTGCTAGTCTCTTGGATGGTCAACTCACACAGGTTCTACTATAACTGGGACAAAAATGAAAGCAAATAGTTGTGATTTTTCTTCCATGGATAACTATACACCTACAGTGGGTCCTCTGAGGTTGTAAATCTGTCCTTTTGCCTAGCAGATGACACTCCAGAGGAAAACTGA